TGTAAAACCTAGTGAGTCGCCTATCTAGACAGCAGTTTTCAACGCTTCTCATTCACTTTGCCGAGCTGCATTCTGGATCCATCGGCGCCGCTTCAGTGGCGTTGCTTGCTGCAGAAGTTGGGACTAGCTCAACTTTTCAAGCACCAACGGAATTGTCAGCCAATCAGATCGCTGTATGCAAATACACCAGCTAGACAGTGGCCTATTGCTGACTAAATTTCATTGGCTGACGCTGCTATGACGATCGCGTTAGCCCCAACATAAGACACGCCTTTAGTCAAGCGTTGATGCTGAAGCCCCGTGTGAATGGGGCGTTAGGCACACCGCTTAGCTTAGCAACATGCTAACATCACTCTCAGGGCACATTCCTGCAATTGAGCTAGCATACACCTAGATAGATAGATAGATAGATAGACAGACGGACGGACGGACGGACGATAGATGGGTGGGTGGATGGACACAGATGGGTGGATGATTGGTGGGATGGATAGACTGGTGGATAGACATGGATTTTTAGACAGATGCATAGACATAGATGGATAGACGTAGATGGATAACCGTACATGAATAGACATAGATGGATAGATGTAGATGGATAGATGTAGATGGATAGACATGGATAGATGGATAGACGTAGATGGATAGACATAGATGGATAGATGTAGATGGATAGACATGGATAGATGGATAGACGTAGATGGATAGACATAGATGGATAGATTGATAGACAGATGGATAGACAGATGGATAGATTGATAGACATAGATGGATAGATGTAGATGGATCGACATATAGATGGATAGATGTAGATGGATAGACATGGATAGATTGATAGACATAGATGGATAGATGGAGAGACGTAGATGGATAGATGTAGATGGATAGTGGACATGGATAGATGGATAGATGTAGATGGATAGATGGATAGACATGGATAGATGGATAGACAAAGATGGATAGATTGATAGACATAGATGGATAGACAAAGATGGATAGATTGATAGACATAGATGGATAGTTGGAGAGACGTAGATGGATAGACATAGTTGGATAGAGATAGATGGATAGACGGAGATGGATAGATGGAGAGACATAGATGGATAGACGTAGATGGATAGATGGAGAGACATAGATGGATAGACGTAGATGGATAGACATGGATAGATGGATAGACGGAGATGGATAGATGGAGAGACATAGATGGATAGAGATAGATGGATTGATGTAAATGGATAGACGGATAGACTTAGATGGATAGACAGATGGATAGA